TGTCCTGCCCTGTCCTGTAGTCAACCTCCGTCCTGCTGAGCGGCAGGGCAGAACGAAAAATAATTTAGCCTCCTGTCCTGTCCTGTCCTGCAATCAACCTCTGTCCTGTTGAGCGGCAGGACAGGACGAAAAATGATGTACCCTCCTGTCCTGCCGCGCAGGACAGGACAGGACACAGGACGGCCGCACCGTCCTGTCCTGTGCTCATCTCTGGTTGAAAGTCTTATTGAATTAAATTTATTATCATTAGGATATTCATTTAATTTCAATGAACTTTTTTCTATTTTAAATCGAACAATAAATATTGAAAAACTTTCAATTAAAATCGATAATACAGATGATTTTCATTTAATTAATGGAAATCATTTTAATTCTTTTCTATCATCATTTCATTTAAAACAATTTAATTATTTAGTTAATTATACATCAGATTCTTCTATTAATCGAAAAGAAATTCTTTCAACATGGAAACAATTTCCTCAACAATTCGATTGTCTTATAAGTGATGATCAAAATAAAATTATTTTATATACAATACCTATTAGTTTTTCACATTTGGGTATTATGAGTACATTCTTTAAGAATTTATTTTCTGTCAAGAATTATTTCGATAAAATTCAATCTTTATGTTTATATGGAGTAAACCCCTCCCCATATTAGAAGCCCCCGGGGGGCTTCTAATATGTCTATCATATGAAGCTTCTGGAGGGGGCTTCTATTAAGTCTCAAAAAGTTTCGTAAACTGCCAGGAAAAAGGGTTCGCAAGGGTTTTTGGCGACTTTCAAGGTTTTTATGAGTTTTCCAGAAGATTTTTGACATTATTTTCAGATGTTAGCTAAGCTAGATAAGAGTCAGCCAACTTTTTACCTGAAAATCGAAAAATTTTAGCAGTTTTAGCATGAAAATGAGAAAAAAAATCTTGAAAATTTTAAAATTTTTTCGAAAAATTAGGGGGCTTCTAATACGTCAAACACGTTGTTCATCTCAGAGGGGGCTTCTAATAAGGGGGGGCTTCTAATATGGGAGGGGCTTCTATTATGGGGAGGGGTTTACCAAATTTAATTTCTGAAGTATTTCCCATATTAATAAAATGTAGA